AGGAGGCTGAACCCTCAACAGTCTGCAGAATCCCCTCACTGATTACACTGTAAATGATAATCTACCTTAACCAAAATCAAAGTAGACTATCACTCACCCACACCAGATGGAAAACTCTACAGACTGTCGGCGCAGGACTGCGAACAGCACTTGGCAATGAGTACGATTACGCCTCATTCCAGGCTATTCTAAATCGTGCGAACCTGGTCATCCAAACAGATGACAAGGCTGCTAACGAAAGGTAGTCCCAGCCGCACTATGTGGCTAAGCAGGGCTATCAACGACCGGCACATAACAATGCTGTGATTTTCGATGAATCAGTCGATCTCCACGCTGCAGCAGCATCCTCGAGTGATGGAGGAACCGTAGCAGCGCTCCCGCCGAAGCGTTCCAAGAGAGTTCGAAAGAAACCGGCGACACAAGCGACGACAGAGACGGGAATTGGGCAGCAACCATGGACGGAATACAACACAACCAAGGAGGTATTTGACTTACGTCAACGGTACGGATATTGCCTATGGTGCAATAGTGTCACACACACTATCCCACAATGCCCGGACAAGGGCAAGGCATGCGTACCCCGTCCAGCTAACTCGGGAAACTGAGTTACGCAAGGAGAGGGGCGACGCCTCTCCTCACTCCGCCGGAACCGGTTGCCTTGCTAGCAGCCGATGTCACTATCGGGGAGCATGCGTTAGTCGTTGATTCTCGTGCTACGTACGAGGATTATGCCGCCCAGATGGTACCACCATTAGACCAGTCGAGCCACGTGCATGTAGATAGCGTATGCGCAGCCTGTGCACCGTCGGCAAGTGAACCGGTCAGCTCGCCACTGATTTCCGAGGACTAGACGGCGTGGTCAAGACTTGAGGAGCTTGACCCACTCACGAGAGAGGACTTCGCTTGGATACCTCTACCCTCAACCGGAACCTTGCCAAGGCCGCATTGCAACGCCTTGATGGCAAATCTACGCTCCAATTTGCACGCTACAGTACCAGCTCCGTTGACGGACGCCGGAGTAGCGGTTGTCGATGTCCGCTCCTATCTTGCAAAGATTGAGCGCGAGTACGCCACCCAAAGGTACGCCGAAACCGACGCTCCTTTGCTCTACATCCGCATTCAAATCGGAAAGGCAACCTGTAGTGCCTTGATTGATTGCGGAGCGTCTCGCAACTTTATGAGCCAAGCCTTTATGGCCCGCGCGTTCGAAGGAAGACGCAACCTACACAAGTTACACTCGCGGACGGCCGCATGCAAAAGTCAATTGACCGATGCGTTGACGGCGTTCGGGCATACTTTGCGCCACTTGCTTGCGAGCCAGTGTTCTTTGACATCCTCGACACCAAGTTCGACATGATTCTAGGCATGTCTTGGTTGCGTAGCGCCGATCATTCGGTGAACTTTCATGACCGAACCGTTCACATCCGTGATCGGAATGGAATGTTAGTCCCATGTACGGTCGCGACCCCTCACACTTTGATTGCTTGTCACGTGGTTTCCGTTGCGAGAATTCGCGACGCTATAGCTCGGAATGACGTTGACGAGATGGGCCTTGTATTCTTGCATGCTCTCCCCTCGTCGGACGGACCAGCAGCGTCACCACCGGACCCACGCATTTCTCACCTCTTGGACGAGTATGGAGACGTCTTCGAGGCTCCCACCGGAACGGTTCCGGATCAGCCCATACGTCACGGGATCACTCTCAAGTCTGGCGCCGTCCCTCCGCGTGGATGCATTTACCGCATGAGCGAAGAGGAACTCGAGGTGCTTCGCCCAAAACTCGACAACCTCCTTGACAAGGGCTGGATTCGCCCTAGTTGTTCGCCTTACGGTGCCCCTGTTCTCTTCGTCCGGAAGAAGAACAAAGATCTACGATTATGCATCGACTATAGAAAACTTAACGCACAAACCGTAAAGAACGTCGGCCCTCTCCCTCACATTGATGATCTCCTTGAGCGGTTCGGCGGCGCGACGTACTTCTCGAAGTTGGACTTGAAGTCGGGTTACCACCAGATTGAAATCCAGCCTCAAGATCGGTACAAAACCGCGTTCAAGACGCGGCACGGGCACTTTGAGTGGGTTGTCATGCCATTTGGCCTCACCAATGCCCCCGCAACGTTTCAAGCAGCGATGACGACTGAGTTTCGCGACTTGCTCGATCGCAGCGTCCTCATCTACCTTGATGATATCTCGGTTTATAGTAGGACATTGGACGAACACCTCGTACACCTTCGCGCTGTTTTGGATCGTTTGCGACTGGCCAAGTACAAAGCGAATCTCGACAAGTGCGAGTTCGCCAAGCAAGAGCTCAAGTACTTCAGTCATATGTCACGCCAAAAGGCATTCGTCCCTTAGCGGACAAGATCCAAGCCATCGTGGATTGGCCGGAACCCAGTTGCACGACGGATGTACGCTCTTTCATGGGTTTGGCTGGATATTATCAGCGATTCGTCGAATCATACTCGAAAGAGGCCGCTCCCTTGTCGAAATTTCAGTCCCCAAAGGTGCCCTTCAAGTTCAACGACGCAGCCCGTGGCTCGTTCACTACGTTGAAGGCAGCRATGCAAGCCGCACCTGCCCTCCGTATATACGACCCCACCCTTCCCACCCAAGTGACTACGAACGCTTCGGGATACGGTATTGGTGCGGTGTTGGAACAGTGTCATGAGGACGGTTGGCATCCGGTCGAGTATTTCTCCCAAAAGGTGCCTCTCGTCAACACTCTCGACGACGCTAGAAAGAAAGAACTACTCGCGTTCGTCACCGTTCTCAAACGGTGGCGCCACTTTCTTCTCGGTCGTCTGCGTTTTAAATAGAATACGGACAACAATCCGTTGACCTTTTATAAAACGCAGGATACGGTCACTAGCACGATCGGTCGATGGATGTATTACATCGACCAGTTCGACTTTGACCCGTGCCACATTCCCGGTCCCGCCAATCGAGCTGCGGACGCCCTCTCACGACGGCCCGATTTTTGTGCCATTGTGACCACGGCATTCGACGTCGATGACGATCTGCAGCCGCATTTCGTCAAAGGCTACAAGTCCGATCCGACTTACTCTACGCTTTACGCGGAGCTTTCATCGGATCACCCGACGGCTAGTCATTCTCGGACTTCCGACGGGTTCCTTCTCCTTCACACGAGAGGAAAGGACTTGTTAGTTGTGCCCCAAGATCGCATCTTACGAACTCGTCTTCTTGGCGAATTCCACGACGCACGACTTTCCGCACACCTTGGCGTAAACCGCACATTAGCACGCCTCCGCCAGCGTTTTCACTGGCCCGAAGTCCTTCACGACGTCACGAGGTACATTGAGTCATGTGCAGTTTGCCACCGTAACAAGGGTCGATCTCAAGTCCCCTTCGGCGAACTGAAACCGTTGTCAATTCCTCGGGCACCGCGCCTCTCCATCGCTATGGACGTGACAGGCCCGTTCCCCCGCGATCGCCTCAGCCATGACGGTATTCTCACGGTCGTTGACCGTTTTAGCAAGTATGCTCGCTTCCTTCCTTGCAAGTATCATGTTGCAGCTCGCACGCCTCTTGCACACCGGTTGGATTACCAACCAAGGTGTTCCAAAAGACATAGTGAGCGACCGAGATACTCACTTCATGTCGGCCTTTTGGACTTCCCTTATGGCTGAGTCTGGTACGACAATGAAGCCGAGCTCAGCTTGGCACCCACAGACGGATGGCCAGACGGAGCGAGCACACCAGACCCGCTCAGATCATGTTGCGTACGCTCATCCGTCCCGACCAGAAAGATTGGGTTGACCGGCTTCCCGACATCGAGTTCGCCTACAACACTTCGGTGCACCCGGCGATCTGCGTCACACCATTCGAGTTACATCATGGTGGAGAGAAAGCACGGATCTTCGCTGATCTCCTTCTACCACGGGCCGCCGACATAGGCGTCCCTTGCTCTCCCGCTTCCGTTTGGAAGTACCGGCACTTGCTGATCAAAGCCCGCGTGAATATGCAAAAGGCTCAAATCCGCATGCAGCAGCAAGCTAACCGACGTCGACTTCCATGTCCTTTCCGCGAGGGAGACCTTGTTTGGGTCCTCTCCGAGGAATTTGCGATCGAGCGGGATGTTTCACGCAAACTCCTTCCCAAATGGTTCGGACCATGGGAAGTTACTTCTGCCCGACCCCGCAGCTCCTTCCTTTGTGGTCAACATTCCACCGCACCTTACGGTGCACCGGGTCTTCCACGCGTCGAAGCTGGCCGTCTACACGCCACCTTCCGCTGACGAGTTTCCGGGCCGACGATCACAGGATCCGCCTTCTATGGACGGACATCAGGAAGTCGACCGAGTCATCACACACCGCAAGTATGGCAACAAGTCAATGCAGTTCAAAGTCACATTCAAGCAATGTGCGCCTGACGACACTCGGTGGATCTCTCGCGCCGACTTGCAGACTTCTGCACCCCTTATCTTCGCCGACTATGAGAATCGACGCCTTGCCAAGGAAGTAGCTCGTCCCGCCCGACCCACCCTGGTATCGGACAGACAACTCCGCCCTCGCAGGTAGCTCGGTCTTTTAAGAGGGGGAGTGTGTTACACATTGTGTCACACGGGCCTGGGTAGGCCCGACAGAGCCATTCCAGGCCGCCGGTTGGCCCTTTTTAGGCCCCTTAAGGACCGGACCCAACGGGCAGGCCCAAACGACATTACCGTTTGGGCCTGGCGGCGCTTTTGAGGTTGCCGCCCGCCGGTCTGATTCGAATCGTCGATCTGGACGATTCAGATCACGGCCAGGCCTCACAGCATTGAGGCCAGCCTCTGTTCGACGGTACTAAAGACCGGTCCAGCCTCATTGTGAGGCATCGAGCACTGGGACGCTGCTACAGCGCCAGTCGTTTCGGTTCAGAGCGGAGCAGCGGCATTGCGAGGAGCGCTGCGATATTTTGGTTAGCGCACAGCGCTGGAAACAGCAGCACTATTCCTAGCGCTGGACTGCACAGGAGTCGAGAGCAGCGGGGACTTACCTGGCACTTACCTGAGGCGCCATAGCTCCAGCTGCGCAGGTCTTCAGCGGCATCCGCATACCTGCAGGTGAGGCCTAGATTAGGGACAGGGCAGCGAGGCTATTCCTCCTTCCTACCTCACCATCTCCTCCTCGTCCTCTGCCACCTGGCTTTCTTCTTCTTCTTCTTCTTCTTCTTCTTCTTCTTCTTCTTCTTCTTCTTATTCAGACTTCTTCTTCTTCTTCAGATTGGAGACTTGATACTAGTTGGACAGAGATCAGTGTTGGACTTCGGTGGTAAGAGGCTGTGGTACTTACCGGATTCGAGACTTGGAGATTGTTGGGGTTGATACTCGGCGGCATCACAGATTGGACACCGGTTATATTAGGACTCTGTACATCCGACATTGGTGACTTAATTGTCCACAACATTTCGATCTTGTTCGATGACATTTTGGACTACCATATCGGTGACCTACTGGATTCTATCTCGGTGACATCTGGCGATGCGTACATCTCCCACCTCCTTTCGTCTCTCCTCCCACTTTTCATTTGTGTATGTATGTACGGGGCCTGAGCATCGTTTATGATTGGCTCAGACCCCACCATCTCACGATTGTTTGTGTGTCGAGTGATATCTATGTGACTCAGTCCATTTATCAGACTTCCCCTGCATACATGCTCATCCTGTATTTGGTTGATCTCTTGGTTCTACCCATACTTGTCGAAGTACTCACAAGTATGCAACAGAAACCCTTCACTAAAACTGCAAAACAGTGAAGACTGCAGTAAAAGAAGAACATAAGTTTGTGTCGTTTTTACTTTGTTTGTACCCTGCACCCTAACACCCTCAAAGAAAAAGTCCGAAGGGTGAAAATGAGAATAAAAAATGAAGAAGGAAGTGCAGGTGCGCTGAAAAATGAACGTGGTAGACTCTTCAGCGAAACTGCAAAACTGTGAAAGAAAGAAGAATGCAGTAAAAGAAAGAAGATGTTTGTGTCACCCTTATTTTATTTTTATTTTTTCTCCCTCTGTCTATCGATTTTCCTTTTCCGCTCCTCTCTCCCTTGTGTTTGACACCTCTTCCTTCACTCTGCCT